GCATCACAAAAAATTAAAAAAACTGTAGAAAGAATTGAAATTGACACAAAAAAAATAAAAGTTCAGAAATATAATCGAGATAAATATGATTATGCACAAAAACAAGTTCGCACATATAATTTAAAAAAAACTAACAATCAAAACCGATGGAGGAATGGGGCAACACATTATCATCCAAATACACAAGCAAACCAGCCCTTTAGACCTAAAAGACTACAAAGCAAAGAATTTTATGAAAAAAAGCACTTTCACAATGATCGTCAGAGATCTCCAGATAGATCTCCAAGATACAATACAAAGAATGAGAAATTCAACACGAGATATGATAGATTTCACACTAGACATCATCAAAATACGCACTTTCAAAACACTCATGTTCAGAGAAAATTTCCGAACTCACGTTATTCCGAAAAAATTGAAGAATTTGACAAACACAAATATCCTACACATCACAAAGTTCAAGAATCACCTTTAGTTGTAAGACCTAAAACTCACAGATACACATTCATACCAGATTCACCTATACAGAAACAAAGAAATAGAAAGTACTCTTGGGAAAACCCCAAAAAAACGTATAAAAAACAAAATGAAAATAAACCACCATCACCTCAAGATCCAATCAAAAACAATAAGTATCATGCCTTGTCTTTCTGTGATCAATTTGACGAAACATCTTTTTTAGAGATCCCCTCAAACAGAGAAAGACAAATCCATCATCTCAATATCACACCTATAAAAAGTCGCAAAAGAGTACTAGAGGGAGAAGATCAGGCAGAAGACAACAAAAAAGGAAGGCTAGAAAGCTTCTAAATGATGTAACACCAAAGACACCTACGGGCATTTTTAATCTATCAGATAAAGTTTTAAGCACAACAGAGAAAAATATTTTAAAACGAGGCCTGAAATTTGCCCCTACGAAATCATATAACTCCTTTTTAGCTTACATAGATGTGAATAAATTTGTCAGAAATGCGACTCTAAAACGCTTTTTCATCAACAAAAATAACTCTGATCATATAAATACAACGAAATATAAAAGCAGTGAACTAAAGAATAAATCCACCTTCTATCCTGCACACTTCAAATCTAGCGCTCTAGATATATTTGAAAAAAAAGTAAGTAAGGATTTAAAATATTTAGACACTAAAAATACAAGAGGTACACAAAATATGAATAGGAAAGAAATGAAAATACTAAAAGAGCTGTACAATGATACTTCAATAGTAATTAAACCAGCTGATAAGGGCGGAGGCCTCGTCATCCAATCCAAAGAGAAATACGAAACAGAAGCTTACAGACAGCTTAATGATGAGATGACCTATATTAAATTAGACCATGATCCAATAATGGATATAAAATCTGAATTTTATGGTTTTTTGGAAAGAGGAAAAGACATTGGGATTCTAGGTGAGAAAGAGTTTAATTACATCAAAATACTACACCCTAGGATCCCGGTAATATACTTCCTCCCTAAGATTCATAAAAACTTAAATGACCCTCCAGGACGCCCTATTGTGTCAGGAATAGGATCCCTCCTTTCAAACCTATCAGAATACATCTATATAATGCTACAACCGTACGTCAAACGAACAAGATCCTATTTAAAAGATACAATAGATCTTCTGAAAAAATTACAAACTATCAGTTGGGAAAAGGACTATATATTGATTACTTGTGACGTACAATCGCTGTATACGATAATCAAACATGACAAAGGATGTCAGGCCATCAGATCCATTTTAGAACAAGATGACTCTATGTTCCAAGAACAGAAAGATTTTATTATTGACGGCATAGATCTAATTTTAAAACACAATTATTTTTGGTTCAAAGATAGTTTTTATTTACAGAAAACTGGGACAGCTATGGGTACTAGGTTCGCACCCAGCTATGCCAACCTCTATATGGCTGAATGGGAGGATCGGTCTGTGTGGAGGGGACATGGCTGGGTGCAGAACCTGGTTTTTTATTCTCGTTATATAGACGACCTCCTATTCATTTGGAAAGGACCTATTAGTTCAGCTAAAGATTTTATTTCTTTTTTAAATAATAATGAAGAAGGTATAATTTTAACAGCGGATTTTAGTAGTACTATGGTTACGTATCTAGATCTTAATATATATATTGAAAATAATACAATACAAACTAAAACACATTTTAAAGAAGTAAATGTAAACAACTATATAAGTACTAAAAGTTGCCACAACAAGATATGGTTGGACAGTATACCTAAAAGTCAGATGATGCGTCTCAGTAGAAACTGCTCTGATGAAGCTGTGTTTTTAAAGCAAGCCAACATATTGAGAGAAAGTTTTATACAAAAAGGTTATGCTGCTAATCATATCGATTCAACCATTAATCAAACAGTCACAATTAATAGAAATCAACTTATACATAAAACCAAAGGTTCAGAGAATCAGAAGAATCGTGATTTTACTTTACCTATTGTACTAGATTATAACAACAAAAACAGACAACTGAAAAAAATTTTAATAAAACATTGGCATCTATTAAAGGAAGATGAAATTTTAGGAAAAATTATCCCTGATAAACCAAAAGTAATTTTTAGAGGAGCCCCTAACCTTAAAATGCATCTAACAAATTTTTTTACAAGAAATAGCCCTAACAGAATTAATGATTTTATGGACAAAAAGGGTTTCTATAAATGTAATTGCTGTATGGCGTGTAAAAAGACAAAAACTACTAAAAGAATGACCACTGATTTTAAATCAAATAATACCAATAAAACATATAATATAAAAGAGGTCATTACATGCAACAGCAAAAATGTGATCTATTTATTGGAATGTTCATGTGGTCTCCAATATGTAGGGAGAACGATCAGGCCACTAAAAACCAGAATCGCAGAACACTGTAGAAATATAGAAAAAGGTCTACAGAATCACTCAGTACCTGCGCACTTTTGCATGCACAATAATGATCCCAAGCACCTCACGTTTATGGGAATTAAAATAGTTAAAAATCATTGGAGAGGGGGAGATGCTATAAGAAAGATTGGACAAACTGAGATGCAGTGGGTATATCAACTTGATACCCTACACCCCAAGGGGCTGAATGTTGATTTTGATTTATACAATTTTTTATAAATTTTTTTTTTTTTTTCCTTCCTTCAACATTTTTTGTCCATTCTTATAGCATGCCCCTCATCTACTCTTATTATGTTTTATGCTTTTATGGTTGTTTTTAACTTTGACTATTATGTTAAACTATTTATAATATTTATATTGTGCCATTTTTTATTTTTATTTATTTTTTTATATTTTTTATAGGTACTAACCTTTTTAAAGCACACATTATGTATGATTCTTTTATTTATCATTTATATTTTAGGTATATGTATATTTCTTTCTTTTTTACATTTATATGGTTGTACACAAACTATCCTATTAGTTGTCTTTTAAATGGATGTTTGCCCTCAACAAAGATGGCCGCCGCATTACTTTTCCATTGGAACATACCCACACCCTCTAGTATTGGAGGCCGGGACGAGTGATGCCTGTAATTTTATTCATATTATTTATTGGTGTTACACACACCTCTGGACATTTAGATATTACTATTTTTCTACATCAATTTGCACTACAGACGCCGCGATCATCTCCGGTCGGACGCGAGCACTACGTCACTTCCGGTGTGACGCGGGTGCCGCGTCACTTCCGGTATGACGCGTGCGTGTCAGCAAACAGCCGGAACCAGGAAGTAAGCACACCAGGACATTATTTCTACATTAAGGAGGATATATAAACGGACTTATTGGACATGACACCACACTTCTGAAGAAGCCAACCTGGCGAAACGCGTTAAGTGGGACTACATTTTATGTTTTATAATATTTTATTTCTATTCAGCTTGTTTATATTAAAGTATACTTTTTAAAGTTACTTTTATATCCACTCCAATCTTTTATTTTACTTCCTGGATTCTGTATATCCTTGGTGGGGATTATACCACCCATGCTGTTTATACTAGAGCAGGATATATGCTCTAGAAATTGTAAGTACAATACTATTTAATATTGGTCATACTATTAGTACTTACTTCACCATATTGCTGCTATTTTTTCCTTTCATATTCACTACGCTCACTGCATTGTGGAAATATTCGTGGAAACTTCTACAAATCCAAAGACGGGGATTGTACCGTCCAGGCGTTCTTACAGCAGAGCTCTGTTATAGCTCATCCATATGTGAGTGGATCGAACTTAGCCTTATACTATCTGCTCTAAAGAATATATTTACTGTATTGCACTATTATTTGTTTCTTAATCTGTTCTCTTTGAGGTTACGATCCGTTTGGAATATTCAAGATATATGTATGTATATTTCACATATATAAATTAGGCGCGGTATACGTTTTTCTTTTTTCCACTATTCACTTACAAGGTTTGGGAATCCTTGTGTATATACTGCTGCCTGATCACTATAGCGAGCGCCTATTCTCTTCTTTTTTTCTATCCTGGAGATTGAATTGAGAAGTAATTGAATTATCTCCCAGGACAGACACAAGACTCCATTATGCACATGGTGAGCACAAAGCATTAAAATATTATAAAATACACAAAGTCACATTTTATACATAAAACACAGACATGTCACATATCCCTGGGATCTGAGCGCACAAAACTACCGAATAGCGCTCAGATCCTATTCACACAGTTCAATTGCCATGGAGCCGAAGTCTTTAACTACACGAATGGGCTCCATGACATAGCTATCTGGGTTAATACATTCACATAAAGTCTGGTCCATAGTCCAAAGGCAAGAGGCGGGCAAGCAGCCCCCTCCAAGGACACGTGGCGAGGCCGGTTTCGCCACAGAGTTTATTTTGGAAATCTTGGCACTCACACTTGAAAAGAACTATTTTCGCTTTGAGAATCAGTGTTACCTGCAAATATCCGGTACTTCGATGGGGGCGTCTATGGACCCCATGTAGATGACCTTCTAATCATATGGAAGGGCACAGATTTGGAAGCATATGATATGGTGGAGGAACTTAATAAGTTACCAACACCAATCAGATTTACAGCTCAAATCAGTTCCGTGAAAGTCCAGTACCTGCACGTGGAACTATCTGTCGGGGTTAATAGGCTTGAATATAGCCTCTACACCAAAACGACGGACCGGAATACATTGCTGCACTCACTGAGTGCCCATCCACAAACACTCATTGAGTCTCTTCCAAAAGCTCAATACCATAGGGTGATGCGAAATAACTCTAATGATCTCATTAAAGAAAGACAACTGTCAGAAATGACGGAGAAGTTCCTGCAACGTGGTTACAAGCGCTCTATCCTTGATGAAGCCCTAAATGAAGCGAGAGAACCACGAGTATCTAAAGAAGAAATGTTTAAACATGAAGTAACCCAAAAATTGGTTTTCCCTACCACATACCATCAGTCCACCAAAACTATCTCCTCAGGAAGAATTGGAGAATCTTGTCTGCGGACGATACGCTCCTCAAGGTCTTTCTTGAAAAACCTCTTATTTGCTTCAAACGGAACAAGAATTTAAAAGATCTTCTAGTCCACACAGACCCTGTTTCAAGTTACACAGAAAATATTACTGCCCAAAACCGGGGTTGTGTTCGCTGCCTAGGGTGCGTCACTTGTGGCCACATGACGCCATCAAAAACTTTTTCCCACCCTCATACAAATAAGCAGTATTCCATCAGGAGGACCATTACATGCAAAACAACGCATGTTATATACAAGTTGACATGTCCGTGTGGCCTAGCATACATTGGTAAAACTGAGACCGCATTATGCGAGAGAATTCGGGGACACCGGTCCAGCATTAGGTTGGCGTATAGAGATGGGTCTTCGGACAAGTCTGTAGCCAAACATTTTTTGGAATTTAAACATCCGCTATCTTCTTTGAAATTCGTGGCTATAGATCATATTCCACTGTCCAATAGGGCTGGGGATCGAGGAAAAGCGCTACTGAATAGAGAAACTTACTGGATCTACCATTTGGACACAGTATCTCCAAAGGGCTTAAATAAACACATCGCTTTTCATTCCTTTCTGTAATGTATCAATAGTCTTTTGATGAGACCCATGTTTAATATTTGGTCTTTATGACTTAGCTCCCAATATAGAGGTCTGCTTCTATTGTATGGTCTATTTCTGTTGAAACTATTATGCCGCTATGGTATATTAAGCATACCATGTATTGGTATTCAATATACTGCTATTTGCAATTCCAGGTACCCATAAGCAATAGGGGTATTGTGCTCCAGCTGGCATTATTATTTTAATTTATGTGTTTTGTCTTTTAGGTTCAATCAATATATTTTGTGATACTGACCATAACCACGGCAGTCAAGATAGCAATCAAAGTTTAAATAAGGCCTTTAAGTTATAAATATGGCCAATACTTGAATTCTTGCTACATCACTATTTTATACTTGAGCAACATTAATTAAATGGGTCTCATCATTATTATTGAACTTAATTGCATATGTCTGATGTGTTAGAATTTTTTGTGTGTGTGTTCAGTCTTTTTTACTTAAATGCAATCTTATATTGTCAGTAGTGCATCTGGTCTAAGCAGATTTTTTTAAAACAAGTTTGCACTTTAGTATTCACTTGTCACTTTAACTTTCACTTATGCTTTTTGTACATTTAAGCACTTTTATTGTAATCACTGGCACTTTAAAAATATTTGCACTTTAGACCTAGTGGTCTCATAGTAAAGAACTACTTAGATATATTTCTTTACATATTTTATATTATGCACTTTATATTATGCACTTTATATTGGCATGCACTCATAGTGAGTGTGTCGATAGACTGTCACTCTACCATTGAGCCAGTAATAGTTTATGGCTCATTCTACACATTAACATAATTCTTGGCACATAATTTATTTCTTTCACTTATAAGTAACTCAGATTCACTGGGCACTTTATTGTAATAGGATTCACCGTCAACCGTTTTGTCACTTATCCCCACAGCGACGCATTAGTTTTGCGGTCGCTAGGGCGACAAACGGCATACGTCATTCCGTGATGATGTCACTAGAGGGCGGTGCCTGTTCGCGCAGGCGCACTGTGCACTGAGGGACGCCGGCAACGCAGCGATTTTCACCTGGGGTAAGCTAATTTACTTATTTTCACTAATTTGTTCAATCTGCTTGATTGGAATAATTTTATAGGGTATATATAATGTGCATGTATGTCTTATTAATCTTATGATCCTGATGAAAGTCTGCAAGGACTGAAACGTTGATCTTGGATGTTTTAATCATGTGTCATTAAACTTTGGACTTTTACTTCGTGAGTGCAGCCATTTACTTGACTTCTTTATATATATATATATACACCGGCATGAAAGATATAGAAGAAGTTCTAATTAATTCTAATGAACAACTCAAATTTCCCATTGAATTTTTTCTTGATATACTGTCCCTGACCCTCACACTCAATTATTTTCGTTTTGAGGACTGCTTTTATTTACAATTGACTGGGACCTCAATGGGATCAGCAATGATACTGATGTATGCTAATGCTTTTATGTATACATATGAGGTTGTAAATATTTTGGATAAATTTGGTGACAATATAGCCACCTATATGCGTTTTAGCGATGATGTGCTGTTGGTTTGGACTGGTGAAGAAACACTGAGCCAGATGATAAACTAACTCAACACACTGCAATCACCTATACGCTTTACTTACAGTTCCTGGATCTACTGATTGGGGTTGATGACAATAAATTCACCTACAGCCTATTCACAAAGCCCACTGACAGAAATTCTCTACTGTTTGCTACCAGCAGTCACCCCAGGAAACTAAAGCAGTCACTCCCGGTATCTCAATTCCTGCAAGTCATGAGGAACAATTCAGACTGAGTAAAAAGAGAAATCCAGATTATGTATAGAAAATTCACTGAACGAGGCTATACACACGATTTAGTGACACAAGCCCTGGTGAAAGCTTGTGAAAGATATGAAGGAGATGATCCGACTACCCGTGGTGATGTTAACAGAGTGGTATTTCCTCAGACCTACAACTTCAAGTCGTACCAGATTACAAGAGCGATCTTTAACAATTGTAAACTGTTACAGAGAGACAATTCTTTACCAGCGATCCTACACCAACCACCACTTATCAGCTATAAAAGAGGAACTAATCTACGTGATTTGCTTGTCCTTACAGACCAATTTACCAGGGTTGCCAAGAACAATGACTCCAGAAATGTTGGTTGTTACCGTTGTTTCTGATGTACCACTTGTAATCAGATGTTTCCTGGCAAAAATGCTACAAGTCACATACAGGCAAGGAATACCAAATCTGACACAAGCTAACATGCACCACTGGATTTGTTATATACAAAATCTTATGCCCGTGTGGTCTGGCATCTATTGGCAAGACAAGAAATACACTGAGGGAAAGATTTGTCAATCATATCCATAAGACAAGCCTTGAATAACCCTAACGAGGCCCCTCCAGTCGCTAGATACTTTGCAATAGCGGGACAACAACTGTCCACCTTGAAATTTACAGGGATTGATCATGTGCCTAAATTGAATTGAGGGGGTGATAGAGACAAAGAACTTTTGAGACGTGAAGCATATTGGATTAATTTTCTACACTAATAACTGTTACTCCACTAGGCTTAAATGAACGTAATATGTTACACTGTTTCTTACCATTGAGATGAATTGCTACATGTTTACTATATGTATCTAGCTGAATGAATAGAGATGTTACTTTGTTTCAGGTTATTAGTCTGTGAGACCATTCCTGCCCATGATTTATATATTTCTTTATTTTGGAATTACTGAATACTGATGTTCACTGCATACTATCTCCTTACTTTGTTGTTGTTGTTTTATTTTTGTTTTTTTTTATAATTCTTTATTTTTGGTGCATGTATTTTACTTTACATACGCGCCAGCAGTGCCCCAACAGCATTTTCTTGTGTCTCAGTCAAAATATAATAACAATAGTTAGGTATGCATAACAGTGCACATTTTATATTTTAAAGTGTTATAAACAGTAGGGTATTGCTAGCTATAGAGAGTTATAGTCGTCTACTCGAGTGTGGATATAGATAGATCGTCTGTTAGTCTAAGCACATATCTAATTGTAGGTGGATCAACTAATGGTCTAAGCGTATCTGTAGGTGAGTGTCCCCAGTTAGCACTGTGTAGCTGGGGGAGGTGAGCCCCCTCTTCGATCATGAGGGTGTTAGTCATGCTTGCCCCTATATGTCCTACGGGTCCGTCTTTGAGTATTCTGGTTGTACGGAGGCATGGCATGTCCGGGTGGCACCCTGTGGTGGGCAAGTCGTGAGTGGCAGTGTTTGCCATGAGGTGTTCCTGTCGCCCTGTGTATGCTCCTGTCGGTCATGTGTCCGCGCTGTTTTCTCACGGTGAAACTTGGAAAGGTAAGTCCGCTAATCGGCTGGGGGGCATATGGGTCAGTGTAGGCAAGTGGAGGCTGTGTTGTTATGGCTATCTCTTAATTTCTGATAGTCGGAATGATGCCCGTAGTGCTGGCCATAAGGTGAGCTTATCGCGCCTGAGTTACCCTGAGGCGTGGAGGGGGTGTGGGGGGGAAGAGGTCATTGTGTGGGTGACTGTCGGGGGACTTTGGTGCGTTCTGCCCCGGGTGGATAACTGGTAAAGTGGTTCACACGGGGTACATGCTATTATGGTAGTGGCTGCTGTGCCCTATCGGAGATCAAGTTGCAGCCCTGACATGAGAGTTCGGATTGATGCATCTGGGTACAAAGTCCCAGGTGGCTGCTGGGTCCCAGTCATGAGGGTTTGAGTGTCCCGCAGCTGTTGGGTCCAGAGAGTCGGGCTGGAGGCCCAGAGCTTGTAGGTGTGTAGCCGCTTCAGCTAGGTCTTGGATGGAGATGCAGGAGTCTCCTTGTGAGATGAGTAGCGTGTGGGCTTGGCCCCAATGGTAGCTGATGTTCTTTGCTCGCAGGAGGGATGTGAAGTCACAAAGTGATCGCTGCCAGGCCAGATTAAGATTAACCATGATTAAGGCTCTAAAGAGCCGAAACGTTGCACTTATTCTGTTGAGGTGGTGAACCCACGAAAAAAATGTACCTTCTATATCCTGGAGTGCTGCCTGTGTTTATCTTCTTTGATACTACATTGGTGGATTCAGCGGTGTCCATTCTTCACACATAGCGCCTCCTTGTTGGAAAGCCGGAGCATATGTGCAGAACCTGAGTGCAGGGTATACTGTTTTTGCTGCGCCACCAGGCCAGAGTCCCCCCTGGGAGATCCGCGTAGAAGGTTAGTGACATCCCTTTGAAGCTGGAAGGCAATTGCCCCCTGATGGTGGTCAGTATAGCTGATTTATCCTTATGGCTTTGGAACTGGACCACCAGGTCTCCTACGGTCACGGGTGGTGGTAGGTCTTGGGAGTCGGAAGATTTCCTCTAGAGGCATTGCCTTTGCTTGTTTCGGGGTTAATACATTATATCTGTATTTGTTTTTTTTTTTTTTATAGGCATATGATATATGGATCTTTTATATATGAAAATACA